TTAAACCTTAAATATAAAACATAATGTAAGACCGCAGATTATTTTTCGTTTTATTTGCTATGATTAAACAAGTATATCAGGAGTCATATTTATATGGTTTATGTTCAATGCTAACTATTATAAATGTTTAGAGCGAGTAAAATAAATCAATTAGTTTATTTCAATGAAAGACTTGTTATTTTTGTAGCTTTATTAACCATCTTATTTCAGACATTCATCAGTGATCCACACACAGTTTTTCTCTTCCTACCTTTATTTTTTGAAAAATGGTTATGAGCCATTACCTTCATTTCATCATTTCTATCCCAAAATGAAATTTTGCCATTGATTAAATGATTGATATTTTTGCACCAATTATTAATAAAAAATACTGCACATTTCTCTGTTATGAATTCTTTTAGTTGAATTTGGTGTTCCGTGCATTGTAAAAAATTTAAATCTAAATTAATCTTTATGATTAACTTTATATATGACAAAATATTTTTTTTTATTGCAATTTTCTTTTAAAAATTCTATTGTTTTCAGCATTGGCAACATAGTCAAATAGGTTTCGGGTAGGATAGCACAACCAGCTTTTGTTTTCAAACTCTTTTAAAATTATATAAGTATGAAATATCTGCTTTTCTTTAGCTTCTATGTTGATTTTACATAATAAACAGCTTATATAAAATTTTTTCTTTGCTAATTGTGCTATCCAGCCACTACAGTATCCAATTGCTGCGGATTTTTCTACTTATTAAACTTTCTGTATTGATTAAATCAATGCATAAATGATCATTTTCAATTTCAACTTCACATTCAGTGGGTATATCATCTACGTCTTTAGTCAATAGTTCTTTTAGTGTTTGCAGACAAACGCTATCATCCATTTCGCAATTTGATCCCACTGAATGTGAAGAAGAAATATTGTCAATAAGCAATGTTTTAAAGGCCCCCTCAAAAGATTGTGCTGTAGGCATCGTATTGCTGCAGGCATGAGCCCTTATTGCCCCAAAAAATTTCTCCAATGCGTCTTGGTTGAAATTTCATAGCAATAATGAATTTATGCCTTTTGAATTCAAATAAATTAAAATTCTTTTGAAGTTTTCTACTGTTTTTATCCAGCTGGACAACGATGGAACTATCCCATGATTAATTCCATTATGAAACCTCATGCTCCTTAAAACTGGAAGGCTTTTGTTCCATAATTTATGATGAGGCGATGTTGGTGTCACTGCTGTTCTATACATTTTCCCCCCTTTTGGTTTGCTAAAGCTGCCATTGACACTGTTGAATAAGTCATCAAAAAACATCAACAGGTCTGCAGTTTCAGTGCATTCTTTTTCAAGAACTCCAAACTCTGCAATGAAAATATAATGTTTGTTTAGGTTTGTAATGGAAAATATAAGTTTTTAGTTTATAGTATGTATGTACTATGTATACCAGAAAAATTTTCTATAATAAATCTGCTCTCAAATATATAATAAAACATATGGACTCTAAAATTTCATAATAATAATAATCATCATCATCATCATCAGCCCTTTTACGTCCCCACTGCAGGGGCTCAGGCTTTCCTCGTGGATGGTTAAGGAGGATGGGCCATGACCCTCCACGCTGACCCAATGCGGATTGGAGTGAATTGACGACTGTAAATGCAGCCGGGACCAACGGCTTAACGTGCCTTCCGAAGCATGGAGTAACTCGAGATAATAATTTTTTGGTCACCCATCCCATGACCGACCCTTGCGAAAGTTGCTTAACGACAACGATCGCGGGCCGCGGCGCTTATCTACTACGCCACCAAGCTACTCTCATAATAATATTAAAAAATATCACCTGTCATTACTCCAATAGCAGCTCCAACAGTTTTACTTAACACCTAAGTGCAGTGTTTCACTCTCATTTTTAGTAATAATGATGGCACTACATGATGAGCTGTCAACTTAGGTGCCATCTTCACTCCTTTGTAGCCTGGGCATCTTTCATATAATTGTAGAATGTGATTCCACTTAGCAGTACATTCCTTTCCATTCATGTTATATTTTAAATTTTTTGTTAACAAATTATACCTGATCCCTTTTATTAAATGAGGTGGGTCATAGAGTGAAAATACTTTTTGTCTCCAACTTCGAAAAATCCTTCTGTATAGTGCTGCCCTCTTCTCAAATACATTTCGTTAGTCTCTTTTAACAACAAGTTTATATCAGCAATATTTGATGTAGTTTGGTCACATACTGCTGCTACCACCGTAAGACCAGTTTCTGCAATTTTAATAATCATATTCTTTATTAAAGCTTTAAGTTCCAAAGCTTTAAGCTTTAAGTTCTTGTACTGCCACTGCAAAAATAATAGGCCAGTGGCTGTTTATATTTTTTAACAACGCCTCTAATTAAGAAAACAAGTACATGGTTACTGTACTATTTGCTTCATTGCTCCATTATCAACAAATCCTGTGATATTTTTTTTTTTATTAAAGCTGATGCTTGGTGCTATTGCCATTTCGTCAAATACCAAGGTGCAGTATTTAAATTTATCTGGCATTCTCCTAACTCTGGATTTTAGGTTGTCAAATAAAATTTCATTTATGCCTGCCTTTAACTGGACTTTATACAACAAAGTCTGCAATGTTTGTCTACTAGGTAAAATACAAAATTTTCTTAACAGACGATACGCCTTAGGTGCAGGTTTGTATAATGATAGCGCTAAAGTCTTTTCATCAATGGTAAATCGATGCCCTTGCTTTTTCTTATTTCCATGTGACATTTGCATTCGGCAAAATAATTTTGCAGTAGGTGACATATTTTTGGAAATTATTTGGAAAGCAGAGGTTTCATTAAAGATTTAGCAAGAGCCAATTTTTGTTTAAAGCTCCCTTTTGAGCTTCTCATTTTTTCAATTTATTCACAATTATTTTATTTTGTTTATGGTCTTTTAGAGAAACACCTGCAACAAATTTCATGAAATGTAAATTAAAGCCTCAAAAATAAATAGTTTCTTTTTTAGTATATTTTTCAGATTTGCAGATTGTTTCCAATTTCATGCAGCAATTTTCAAATTGGATAATTGAGATATATTTTTGCAAAACATACCTTTTAATTTTCTTGGCAACTGTTGTTTGGCAACAGGTGTTTGTGTCTTTCCAAGGTTTGTATGCTGACCTGGAAATAATAACAAATATAGTTATTTCGTGGATATCATTGGCTTATCAGTCTCTGGCTCAAAATATTAAAGATTGGCCTATGTTACACAACATAGATTTGCAATTTTGCACAAAGGGACATTCAATTTTTGTATAACTATATATTGACTCATGAATTTTCCTTTATATAAAAAATAATATTATATTTAAGATGATTATTTAACTATTTAAATTTTCATCAGAAAAACGTTTACCAACCTGATGTGCCGGCATGTAGTTGAGAAGGTACAAAATGTGAGGTACATGGCAAATCCGCACTTGCAACTATGTGAGGTTCTCCAGTTGATTGCGCTGAACATGAAGAAAAAAACATTTTATAATATTTTATTTTATAATAAACATTAAAAATTAACATGGAAATTAGGAGCATTATTTGAACAATGGTATAAGAAACTAGCTTTCGCCCACAAGGTCTTATATTGTACATATAAACCTTCCTCTTGTACCACTCTATATATTGATGAAAACCACATTAAAATACATAATGTTTTTTATAAGAACTCAGCTTATAGAAAACGTATTCATTTTCTACTATTTCATTTTTACTTTAAACTTTTTATAGTTTGAAAAATTATTCACTGGTCATTGTTAATCACATATGAATGAATTTTAATGCATAGCCTGCTGCTTCCATCTTTAAATAGATAGGTAGACATTCAATATGCAGTATTATTTATAAATAATACATTACCTGACATATGAAGTGTAGGCATTGCTATGTTGCAGTCTATTCTTGGGATATTTATAAATATCTAGAAAATGTTTTCCACAAATATGCATGTTATTATATATTTTGATTGGATCCAGATGAGTTATTTCTCCACCAACATTGTCTAGCCATTTTTTAAATTTCTCTGTTTTAGTTCTAGGGTCAGGAAACCGGTGCAAAGGGATACCTGAGTAACATAATAATATGTATTATTCTCTGCTATTCACACAACAAATTATTAGTCCTTAATTATTTGTATAATGGATGAACAAATAACAATTCTTAAACTGTAGGCACATAATAAGTTTTTAATGAATATTGTATTCTACGATAGCTCAAAGAAAAATACCTGAAAAACATTTGAATTATGAAACTCCACGTATAGGCTCAGACCAAATAAAAAATTTGGTCTGAGCGTATAGGTATAAAAATCGGTTGAAAACTTTGACATTATAGTACAATTCATAAAGTATTTATTGTACAAACTAAAAAGCACTTACCGCTATCCTTAGTCACTGAACATTAAAGTACACAACAACGGTTTTGAGCCATGATTTTTTGAGCAAAGTTCAAATTAAAAACAAGTAACATTTCGGTACGGGATATTTCAAGACACAATACTAACAATACTAACACAATATATTTCGATTACACGGACGAACTTAATCAACTCAACGTGAAAAGCAGAAAATGTTACAGGAACTTGCAAAAACTAACAAGCACACGGACATTCACTCAATACATTTTCCATTTGCGAAGTAAGTTTTAAAGTTTACCCACAATACCAAACCATTACATACGCGCCATTTTCAATTGATATTGCCATAGTATATTTAATACTACCACTTAAATTAGAAACATTTCTAGTGACAATTCTATAATTACTATATTATTCTGTAACAAGATATATTATTTCAATAATATTAGGTATCATAAGGCTTTTTAACTAAGTTTCAAGTAATAATAAACAAGATTTATTAATGATGCCTTTAAAAATTATCCCCAATTATAAACACATTTATTTATTGTGGCTACACCATGATTTCTATTTTAAAAGCTGGTACATAGATGGCACTGTAAAGTAAAAAAAAATCGAGTTCTAAGTTTGCATAGCATGGAGTTGGCATAAAATTTCCAAAAGAGTGTTCTCTTTCCCCTAATATAATACTACTCTTTGGTGATCTGTCATCATTATAAAAAAAAAAGTCAAAAGTTCAAGAAAAGTCTGTGATGTGTTCTATGGCAGCGAATATTGTCCAAAATGGCTGAGACAGAAACCGATAATAACAGTATTATAAGATCAGAAAGAAATAATAAGGGAACTGTGCCTAGTAATGGGCCACGACGCGTAACTATTTATAAAACCGAGACTGGTTTTGGTTTCAATGTCCGTGGCCAGGTGTCAGAGGGAGGGCAATTGAGATCGATCAACGGGGAGTTGTATGCTCCTCTTCAGCACGTAAGTGCTGTATTGGAGCAAGGAGCTGCTGAGCAAGCCGGTATTAGAAAGGGGGACAGGATCCTTGAAGTGTAAGTACATTTAAATTTTATTCATTCATAAGCTCCATCTACCAATATATATGTTCTCATGGGCTTGAGTTCTCATGGTTTTCCCATAATTGTTTGTAATTCACTACTTAGCAACGCTTTACACGTCGGTTATTCAATGAACGTCGTTGCATTATAAAAATATTTTTAACTTTTCTATATCCATAAAGTTCATTTAAACACACATGTTATGATTCATACTTGCCAAACTTGTTTCTAAGGTGAAGAAAAGACTACAGAATTTGTTACTATTGTCGTATATGTATTATTTGTACTTTTCTTTGTGTAGTATTATTTAGATTCTTTCAATATGACTGTTTGGTTAGAAATACAATGACTGACATGAATTAATATAACTTTAAATAACTTGTATATGTACAACCTTATAGCAGTTGTTTAACTAGTTTTTCTTTCCTCAAACCTGTAGAATGGAAATACATCATTCAACTGTGCACTCATTTTACCTAGTTTAGGATCATGGTTATTTGTATGTTACCTATGATTAGACCCTGTTAACAGAGATGCAAGTATAAGATCAGAATGTATTCTGAAAATCTTTGCTGATCCGATTAAAATATAGTTTTACTTGCATATGACATCTTACAAATGCATATTACTGAAGTTGAGTTTGTATGACTTCTTTTTGTTTTGCTATGTTTGTGAGATGGGTGTATGGATAGACAAGGTATGGTAAAATTTAATCTTAATTCTAAGCATTTTTGGTTGTATAGTATTAATTGATGTAGTTATTTATTTAATTGAACCCAAAATTCGTCAGTCCTGTTAGATCCTCAGTAGCTCAGTGGTTAGATCAGTTGCTCGCATTGCGGAAGGTTGTGGGTTCGAATCCCGTCTCAGAATACCAGGAACTAAATAGATTTTTTAAGCATTTTTCATTAAGAATATTTTCCAGTATAGCATTGTGAATGTGAAATTGATGAAATATAATAATAACAACCCAAATAAATAAAAAAAAAAATACACCAAAACTCATAACAAACAAAACACAAGCCTATCACAACATAATTACCTACGAAGACGCTCAAATGTCTGCGTCGCTGATTGGATGGAATTCAATGCGCTGAACATAACCAACATATCAGAGCGTGAGAATGTTCGAATGTAATTTCGGTTTCAGTTGTAGTTTCGTTAGGTTTGCCAACTAAACCGAAACCTATTTTTTGCCGAAAGTCGATCGAAAACGAACTTTAATTATTGTAGTTTTCTTTAATATAATTATTATATTACGTAAAACTTATGTGGTATAATTTTTTAATCATATAACACTCATTCAATCTAAACCTACATATATAATAACATTTAGTATAAAAATTAATTTAAACATTAATGATATCCTGTGATATTCAATTTTATAGCAGTCACTTCATAAAAAAAATCAAATCTTATAACATAATTCAAAATAATTATTGAAAGTTCAATATTAAGGAATGTACAATTCAACGGTGCACGCGCCGCTGCTGCGGCACACTCGCAGTACAGTATGATAAATGATAATGAAGCTAGACAAATAATTAGAAACGATACTCTTAAGCTTTTGGTAAAATGTTTATAATAAAATACAGAGTAATTGTATTGTTGTAATATGAAAAATGTACATTAAAAAGAAATTAAATATATAGTATGTATATCAGGTAAGGTAAAATTTTTATAACCAATATTGAGCTTAACTGTCAACACATTAAGGCTTAAAGTTTATTGGGAGAATTTGGGCTTTTCGTAGTTATCTGTTACATTCAAATGTTACAATTTGAGAACGTAAACAAGCTGCTAATGTTGATCTAAAATTACTGAACATCAAAGAGTCATGTAGATGTAAAAATATTATTGTTTTCAGATTTATTTAGGTTTCAAGTATGAATGTTTAAAGTTTTTTACACCTAAGCATAAATACATGACCTTTGATATTATATTTAAGACTGCCTTGATTTCATAACTTCAAAATTGTTACGAATAGAGAAATTGTTAAAATACATGCTTGTTTATCATCAATTTATTTTATTTTTTTTCGGCTCTCAACCGCTTAAGGGTTGGGAACCACCCTCCCAACGGGAGAAGGAGGCGGTGAATCCTTCATTGGATACCCCACAGCCGGCTGTGAGGTTATGTCAGACTCCTACTGACTAAACGCCGCCTGGACAGCTGATTACATGCCCGGAGGCAACGAACCTTCGACAAATCAACGACACGTCACTATTCACCTACGTGAATTGTGACATCGAGATGTTAGCCGTTAACCCCAGGGGGGCTCGGCTCATCGGATTGTAATACAGCTGATTCCCTGAAGGGGAACGATCAGCCAGATCGGACAGGGGTATGACCTCTATAGGGTCAGCGTGTGGAGGGCGGGGGGGAGCATCACATACCACCAGAAGGGTGCTATTTGATACCCGTAACAATTTGTGTGGCCTGCTGTGTGGTCGAGAGGGAGAGAGGGTTGACCTAAAGGGTCAGTATTGAGGGGGTGGATTTGGCCTACTGGGTCTCGTAAGGAGGTCTAGGTCGGCCAAAAGATGGATTGTAGGAGGTTTGGGAACCTAACATGTTAAAATATCTTCCTGAGGCCCAATATTATAAGAACACACGGCTACACGTCAGGTTACCACAATAAGTCAAATTTCGACAATGGATTTGAACTCTATACTTATTAGCTCATAAATCATACATAATTTGACAGTTTTGGTATAATCCGATGTGCCGTTGACTACACATTGGCGTCTCAATAAATCAAAATTGACAAATATTTTTGTAATCTAATCTAGTAACAAGAGCTATGTCAAAAAGATGTGGTAATGAAACGAAATGTAACTAAATAAACATCCATTATATATTAACCTCATTTTTATTTCATTACCTCGCTCGCACATCTCTTTATTCCATCTCCTTATTTTAAACTCTGAAAAAAAAAAAAACTTAATAAACGTAATTTTTATTGTTCTTACGTTGACTTGCACAAACTTCCATTAAGGTTTAATGACGCCTTTAAGCGTTAAAGAATGTCAAATTTCTATGGGTAATGTCGCTTTGATGTTAATTTTAATGGATTTTTGTGCAACTGGCTGTTAGTTTATTTATTTCGGTAAATGTCTGGTAATCTCTTATTAATTGATGTAATGAGGGACAAGGAGAATCTTTTAATTGAATTATATACACGCAAAAGTAGCTATGTGTTATGTCTGTTATGCTCTCATAATACCTCACCCACTAAACAGAGTTGACTTGAGGACATACGATATGGGTTGCTTTTTATGAAAGTTTGTATGAAAGTTCGTCATTATCAAAGATAAATTCATGAAATTTTATATACAGGTATTTTACACGATATTATGAATATATATTTGTTTTAGCATTTTTAGAAATGCTGCCCAAAATAACTACCACGCTGTCGGAGTCGTGGGCAAACGCTAGTATAGTAAAGGCCATGAACATACCTGTTTTGATAATTTTGCAATTTTAGTTCAGCTTACGTGGCGAGCATTATAAACGCATTCAAATATGTGACTTATTTCATGAACTTAGTTTGTATTATATTTAATATATTCGTATGTAATAACTTTTCCAGATACACATATTAATTACACTCTTCACTTGATATGTTTTAAATATTTGAGAAAAAACATACGTCTTTAGAAAAGAAAATCTTGTACTTATATGTATTTGTGGTTAACTCAGTGAAAAACTATAATTTACATAATGATTTACACTTACTATAAGTAATGTAATAACAGATAATACTAAACTTATATTGTGCTATGAACTGCAATTAACAAGTCCTAATTGATAATAATGAATTATGCCAAAACATCCCTGATCTACAGTTTTATCAGATATTATCAGAAATGCATGTACTAGAATCGGGGTCAGTTGCATTATCACTGTCCTAACTCGTGTTCATTAATTGCCCAGTCTATATTTTTTGTTGTAACAGTTTATCTCGCTCCAGTTATGATTTGTGTAAAGTCTACGGATATTACGATTTGGTATTTTTATAACTGCTGCCAAAGTTTACTCAGCATATTTACGTATTGAATTTATTAACATTATTCGACCTTTTTTTAATATATCAGACTATTCAGACTGTCTCATTCAAAGTATAATATGGTTAATGGAGATCGCAAGTATCACATTTTGGCGAAAGATGTTTGTAAAGAGATTGGCAAAGAAAAGGGTTCAGCTTTGTCTACACCAATAGACATTTTCCTCAGATTACGAGTGAGGTCTTATATAGGCACATAAGAGAAAAGTGAATTTGGATTTAGACAAAACGTTCTCGAATTTGTTTTGGTACGAGTGCTGCTGTAAAGATGGAAAAATCCACAAAGTAGGTACTGACACGCGAAAGCAATGAAGCTTTCATATACAGAACATAACAGGTGCAATCAAAGATAGCCGATATATTTGCGTGCGAAGAGTCTAGTGCTTAGCTAATCGAACTTCAAACAGCTGTCATTGACTTGTTATTAAATCTATGTACAGCGTAAATTTGTGTTTAGAATCGCTTTTGATTGTTGTATGATCGTCCGATACTTCGGCTAGAAGAGCTGCAGGCAGCACATGACCGACTTCGGTTTGATTGGCATAGGATTGAAGCAATTACAGTCACTGCATTGAACGTGCATATGATTAAATTGGCGCTATCGCGTACAATGTGTATAATTCACTTAACAAACTCGAAATCAACCCCAATCTTAAAGAGCCTTACGGTCAAACGTGCCAACTACTGTGAGATCGAACTCCTATCAAATTTTCTTCTTATCTTCCCCTTCTTCATCTTCCTCTCGATTGATTAAATACATGACCAAAATTATTTTTCGCAGATCCTGATATTTGTTTTGATGTTGTAAGTTGGATAGATCTTAAGTACTTGATTGTACAAAAAATAATTGATTGACAAAAGATCAAACCTCCGAAAATTTTTAGTTTACAAATATGTCTTGTTACAGCTTTATTTAACGGCTGCTTTCATTATTTTAATTGTTCCCTGTTATAAACGTTTGTAAACGTAAATACTTTGACGACTCGGTCTTCCATTACGCGCACATTACTCTTCCCTTTTTTAAATAGACATCCACTTGTAACTAGATTAGCGATGTCACAATTTTCATCACATTTGTTAACTTTATTAGGTAATGTTAATAATGATCAATCAACATGCCCTAAATTGTTAACCTAATAATGAACCGTTATCTTAGACTTTTAATTGACACTCGCGTTAATGTTTGACGAATGGATGTTCACGTTAATACAAACTGATGTGATGATAATTATAAAATTGTTATGAAATTTGATAGTACTTACTTACATAGTCTTACATGCTTTTTAGGAGTTTCTGTTATAAAATCAGCGTGAAACTCTAGTCACAGCATAGAGGTTCAATGAAGTAAAACCGACTTCTAACGGTAATAAAGGTTTTATGATGAGACAGTGCTGTGTTCGACGTCGAGTTTGAGGCTGATTTTATCATAAAATAGTATTGCTCTCACTTGAGCACCCGGGGATGACAAACACAAATTTCTTCATGTTTGCACATCACTTTCTTTCGTAAAAGGTACATATCGCACACCTAAATCTAAACTAAGACAACTCAAAAAACTAAATTGGTGGTCTGACAATACATTTGTTTACGTGGCAGGAGCGCGACCACTGTTGATTCAACAAAAAAAGAGCTAAAGTTATCTAGCGGCTCATCCCCGAACCTTTCTTGAATCTCTTATGTTGGATAGATGCGTATGATCACCAAGTATTTGAATATTGCACTAAGTCAAAACTCGCTCAAATTTTTGAGTTGTCTCAGTTTAGATCTAGGTGTGCGATATACTATTTTATAATCTAAATAGTGCCATGCGACGCAGTCTTTTTCTTATGTATTCAACTCAGCAAAAAACATACTTCATTAATTCTACGTTACGTGGCATTTGTAAAACATTAATTTCGACATATTTTCATTTTTGGACTTTGGTTTTTAATTCGAGGTTTGCATGTCACGTGTGCGTTATACAAGATAACAATTTGTGCATCTATTGTCACATCATTAATTGGTCGTCTGCCTCTTTACGACGCAATTAAAATGATCTAATATTGATATATGTAGCGTCTCATAATGTCATTACTAGCTTGTGCCGATCGCATTGCCAGGACGCGTTCTGTGGCATCAACACCACTCTGTTATACATCTGTTGTGGGACTAGTTTGAATTGATCTGTAAATAAATTTTTGTGTATTTTATAATCAGAATAGTTTTGTATAGTTTTTGAATTTTATCATTATATGAAGTAAGTCCTTTGTTCAGTGAAGGTTTTGTGCTAATGGTTAGTGAAGTGTACGCAAGATTAATTCAAGATGGCCGTGGAGAGGGGAGGCTATGGGGATTTCCGTTACTGTTTCTATTATTGTGCTCGCACAGGTTTCGAGATTTACGATCTCGAAACGCCTGAACAAGCCCTGGCGGCCACTAATGGGTAAATTGACTATTGATTAGTTGATATTCATCCATCGCCATGTGGTGTTTTGTTTAGTTCTGAAGCACTTAATAATAAATACTCTTTGTTGCACGAACCAAATTAAAATTATATATACACATATAAATCTTTACATAAAACGCACAAAAGGCTGCCTTATCGCTAGCCAGCGATTTCCTACAGGCAACCTTGCATGGGATAGAAAATACACACTCAATTTCTTTGTTCTGTTATAAATAACCTAATGATAATGCGATGGCTTTGATAATTCTATGTATTAATTAATTTCTGTACAGATATTATACCGATACGTCTTAGATCAGATTTTTCAACCCAGTTTTGTTCTACCTACGTCGTGATAAAATGTGTGGAGCTCGATCGCGTATTGTATAGTATGTCTGGTCTGCCAATACGGAAGTTAAGCCAGCATTCACAACAGCCGGTCACAGGATGGGTGGCCTCGAATCTCGAGCTCCGTCTGTTCTTTGGAATGCACGTTATGCATGCAGTATCTAAAGTCAAAACACCCACCAATCCGCACTGGGTCCGCGTGGTGGGACATGGTTCATGCCTCCTACTCGATTTCTACCATAAACCCGATGCCCCAACAGTGGGATATTTAATAGACTGATGATATGATGTATGATGACGGATGACAATTACCTACTATATTCTTAATGGTCGTTCATAGATCTTTTGTTTGCGGTCATGTCATTGAACTTGGCTTATCTGAAACGTGTCTCTTAATACCGATCATTTTTAGGTTTACGCCTATAATCTAATGTTAGGTAATTAATGGTAACATATTAAAATCGTTTACACATCGTTATCTTAGAATAGGGTCAATTGTATAATTATAAAGTGCAGATGAGTAAATAAAATAAGGTTTTTTATTTAAGAGTGTGTATGACGCTCATTAGAGAATCACGCACGAGTCCTGTCACGCTAGTTACGAGGTGTCGCTATTTCCGAGGTCCACAGTTTCGATTCCCGGTTGGGTGAATGTAAAAATTTGTACTTTTTTATAATATCTCGGATCTGGGTGTTGTGGTACCTTCGTTTTCTCAGATACTCCATGATGAGTCAATGTATCTGATGTTGTTTAATTACCTATGTAATCTATTTTTCGCCGAGAGGAATATTATTACAAGTATTTATAATAAATTGATTAACTAATTAAATAGAGATTAGTTTTAATAAAAGTGGTCATCGGTCATTTATCAGCCTTTTAATATAACAAGTGCCGGCTCTTCTCAGTACATATGGTCTCAAGACGTAGATTTGTTAACTTTTATCTCAAGCTCCCTTTTCGCAAAGTACCTCAAGCCGTTGGTTCTCTGAATTTATTAGTGCCCACCAATCGGCAATTGGTCCGTCTGGTGGTAAATCATGTGAACATCGTATATCATGCGTATTGTCCAATGATGCGTGTATTGGACATCATTCGCCTACTTCATTTGCCTAACTCTTATTACCTAGTCTCTTCTATTTTCTTAAATATGTATCTTATTTTTCTTTATTAAACATTAGTAGTGCTTGGTGTTAAATATGGCATATTTTTCATATAGGTATATTAAATTGTTTATCGGTGAGCTTCTTTGCCTACACATGTGATTCGATTGACGAAAATACTGTTTTACTCTTATATTTTCTAATATTGTAATGGAAAGTGACTTCATATTTTAATGAAGTCATTTTTCAATCTTGACGCTCTGTATGAAATAGAACAGGGAGAAAAAAGCAGCCCTTGCCGACTTTCTTGCCGGTTATTCTCGGTACAAGGTCTCCCGCCGTAGATTTACGAACCGATGGCGTAGCTCTCGACTTTCACAAGTGCTTGTAACAGCCTAAACTGAATAAATGATTTTGATTTGATTTTGATTTTGAATAAACAAGGTTTAGTGTTCTAGTAAAATTGAGACTGCACTTAGTATTATTCAAAATTCGTATTATTAAACAGAGACTTAGCAAAGGTTAATATAGTACGGGCGTAATATGTACTCCTAGAAGGTACTAAGTTTGCTTATTGTCTGTATAATATGAATTTGGGCCAATACGAAAATTGCAATTTGAGCGTAAATTTAGCCTGACGCTAAACCCTGTTTATGAATAGCACTGTTTATGTTTTCCTCCAATTTTGCTCGCGGAAATTATGTCTCATGTACACCGAGTACGATGTAACTTCCCGTAGGTTTTTTTTTTTAAAATATATCAGTCCTGCAATTCGCTTCTGTAAAAATCCAAACCCGAATGTGAATTCACTCAGGTGTCCAAATACACTTCGAAAAGCGGCATCCGCTCAATCTTGAATTGGTAATAATATTACGTGGCACAAGTGAAGCGAGTTTCGATATGTCATAGAAATATAATATCTAAGACAAAAATCAAATCAATAATATAATAATCAATCAATCACATTTTGTATTTTTATACAAGAAAAAATATGGAATAAATAGAATTTCTACACTAAATGCCGTGAATTAGGACACATGAGTGACTTCGTATTCGGGTTCGGATTTTAACATAATCGCCCTGCTGTTATTTCGGAGCCAATTCAATGCAAACAAAACAAATCTTTCCACTTTACAGTATTACTATAGATAAAAGTATGCAATACATGATGCAATATAGAATATACTTACATCATTAATTGACACTACAGATGTGTTTGTGTGTTTATTTGTCTTCCACGTTGCAACAGACTACGCTATAATAATAAAAGATAGTTGTTCGACTGACAAAGGCTTCTTTTTGATAGCAACTCCATTTTTTTTTAATTGCTGCAGGGTTTGTCATATTAGCGATCAATGCAGTAGTGCAAATAGAAATAAAAGATAATAATTAAGAAAAAAAAAACATGAAAAAATTAACTTAGATAATAACTAAAAAGAAACAAAACAAGCCCAGTAGTTTAGAATTCTGTTAAGTACTGGGCTTGTTTCTTTCTTTTTAGTTTTTATCTTAGTTAATTTTTTCATGTATTTTTTTAAAAATCGTTTTCACGCAGTCGAGTTTTTTGTTTTTCTTAAAAATATTGATTTTTATTTTATATTTTTTAGTTACGATTTGTTCACTTCGTTACAAGATGGTAAATTTCGCAATCAAAATATTTCATTGAGGGAGTTAATATCGTGGGGATTATCAAGTAACTTGCGGTGGTCTAAACTACTGATGATTAGTCCCTCTAGAGACCTAACTCGGCTCAAAGCTACATATGCTTTATTTTTTATACCAAAGCTATTTGTTCTTCATGCTTTTTCACTGTTTTTTTTTGTTTGTATATCGTTGATACTTTAAATAAAAACTTAAATCAATAAGTAGCAAGAATGTTTTGTTAAACAACTTCAAATCATTATATATCCTAAACTAATAATGAAAAGTGATAAAAGGAACCTAAAGATGATTTTAAAATACCTATTCAATGACACCCCAATTGACATAGTTCGTCGATTTTTTTTTCATTTAGACATGGCGTCTGGTTGTCGCTGTGGTGAATTTTGATTACTGTCATGTCTTTAGTGACACTCGCAAGGTTAAAACAAACCGATTGACGTAAGAATCATCAAAATCGGCCTACGCATTTGGTCTCAAGAACGCCACATAGAAACAAACATACATATATACATAGACTGATAAACACATTACCCTCCTTTGCGTCGCGCAGTCGGGTAAAAATAGTTTTCATTCCTAAATGAAATCTATAGACATAGGAAGGAATAAATAATAGTACGTATCTGACCTCTCAATTAAATTAAGATAAAATATTCAATAATAAACTCACATTAACGTTACAATACGGTCGACTGTCCAAACATCCACAATAAGAAGACGCAATAACCCGCGTATAACCAACGAACTTGACCTAATATCAAAGGTTTACTACACACATCTGCGCTTATCTCTCCAATCCGAACCTATATTTAGTCATGATGTTTACACCGAATGTACGCGGAAGATATTTCTGCAACGTAAGATAAACTATCCAATAGCTTACATGAATTTATCCCGAGTAATATTGCAATGAGTGAGAATGTGTCTCTTTTTTTCTTACGTCGAAATGTAATTCTTTTTGGAGGTTTATCAAAAACTGTTATAGATCATTCTTTCCCTGGAAAACTAATTCATTTTCATCCAATATCAGTTTGCAAACGTTTGAGGCAGGCATATCGTATAGGCGCACCCTAGAAAAGTGGCGTTTTCAGTGCTGATCGAATTGAATATTCGACTTCATCTCCTCAGCTCAGCCAACGAAACTTTTCGGCAGCGCTACCACTTTTCTCCTGTAACCATAAATTAGAGTTTCATAACGCGAAATTAACGCTCGGCAGTCTGTTTATAATCTGAACTTTTCTGATATCCTTTCGATATATCGATAGAGCTACTGCTGTTTGCTGCAACCCATTGACCGAAGGCATACTTTTGGCAGGGTGTAGACAGTAAACGAAAATAAATATATATTTTTTTCTGCTAGTGTTTAATATGCTATTACCGATAAACATACCTATACTTATTATAATATTGCTGAAATTATTTATATAAAAAATATATTTTATGTTGAGCGTAAACAGCGCGTGACGTCTAATGCCTGATCATATAAAATTGTATTTATCCATTGTCTTTGTTTCTTGTAGCAATGGCGTGAATGTCGAAGGTTCTACCCACAGGCAGGTGGTGGATCTCATCAAATCAGGTGGTGATTGTCTCACTCTCACAGTTATCTCTGTCACACCAAGAGTAAGTATCTCAATCGTATAATATAAATAATAATGTTAATTTCGCATGAATGAAGAGAGCTTCATATAAAATATCAAATTGAACCAGTCTACTTTTTACCTCACTGAAAATTCCCTACAGATTCATTCAATAAATATTTTGATTTGATAATTTACAGAAATTAATGCTCTTTTTGTCTCATGGTTTACTTGAATTATTGCTGTCGTTTCGTGATGTGGAATAGCGGATCTGATCTTTGGTAAATTCTGATTTCTGCAGGAGGCGGAACGTTTAGAGCCATGCGACGACGGATCAGCCCCGGTGGGCGTGATAGGTGGCGCGGCGAACTCGCGCGCGACCGTCTACCAGAGATACGACTACACAGACAAACGCTCGTTGCCCGTGTCCATACCGGATTACAGGGTGGTGATGGAGCGGGCCACGGGCCGCTCGTACGTCGCGTTCAACGTCCACATGGCGGGGCGGCATCTGTGCAGTAGGCGCTACAGGGAATTCGCCGCCTTGCACCAGCAACTCAGGAAGGAGTTTTTAGGTAAGCGTTGGATAAATCGACTTCTTCGTCTGGTACAGATACGGACCTAATAATATAAAAAGTTGCATATTGCTCATGAGTATACAAAGTGATCTTGACTTTATTGAAAAAATGGTTCTCGATAGTCTACGTTTCTGTTTTATCATTATTATTGTTGATGTCGTTTTAGGTTTCAATTTCCCCAAGCTGCCAGGAAAATGGCCGTTTACGCTCAGCGAACAACAACTCGACGGTAGAAGAAGAGGACTTGAACAGTATTTAGAAAAGGTTAGTTTGATATTCTCTGCTTTACTCCGTATTCAGCTTGAATATATAAATATGTAGCTCACTCACTCATCACGTGATCTGAGAAACTACAACGTTTACGTTTACAATAATACGACGGCACATTGGAGTTTCAAACCCATTATAAAAATTGGTTTGATGATTTTGGCAACAGAGACAGAAAGATGAAGACGATGTGGCTTACTGCTGCACTTGTGCAAAAGGTAAAATTTCTGAACACAACAAATATCGGCCGATCAGAATCATTCGGGTATCACGTCATCGGGCGATCCATCGATAGCTATGCGCCTAACCCTCGCTCAGTGACAGTGTGAACAGTGACATGCTTCGCATTTTACACTTTATGGTTATCGAAACAAGACTTATAATATACTTATTTAAATCGTATTTACGTTTGGTCATCGGCGACATTGGGTAGGTCTACTCTGCACAAACGAAGATTCACAACGCACTATATCAGCCGGAACTTTCTGTACCTTCCTGAACTTCCTGTAGCTATGCCATTTTAGTCTAAACGATGAATATTCATCGAACAGGTATGCGCCGTCCGTGTGATAGCCGAATCTGACGCCGTACAAGAATTCCTAACAGACTCGGACGACTCCTCGAACCCGTCGCCGGTGGACCTGAAGGTCCTGCTTCCCGACAAGGAGGTGGTCACCGTGTCCGTCCTGAAATCCACCAACGCCGACGACGTGTACCGCGCCGTCTGCGAGAAGATAGGACTCTCCAAGTCCGTGCAGAAGTATTTCTACTTGTTCGAGATCGTCGAATACAATTTCGGTGAGTTCTTTTATTCGTTTCAGTAAATAGAAAACTAGCTAGATGATAAATCTAACTAGTATTGGAAATTATGAAATTATATAATGTATCTCCTATATAGTTTGATATGTGTTCGTTTCAAAAGTCGACCGCGTCGATTGTGTATCTTATATTATTGTGAACACCGATCATTTAATAAATCATATCTAGATCCTTTAATACGATTCAGTTTAAAAGTTTAATGGATCTCGTTTACATCGGTCGATCGGGCCCGCGGGCGATTGCAGAAGCTCATTTTTATCGACAAACGGGCCGTCGAGCACGGATAGTGCGGGTCGTCTAGGGAACCGATACGGCGACGGCGATGGGTAACAGCGGGCGACGTGTTACAGAGCGCAAGCTGCAGCCGAACGAGTGCCCGCACTCGCTGTACATCCAGAACTACTCCACCGCGTCCAGCAGCTGCCTGGCGGTGCGCAAGTGGCTGTTCAGCCCCGCGCGGGAGCTGCGCGTCATGCGGGAGGACCGCAAGGCGCTCGAGTTCATATTCTGGCAGGTGGGTGGGCGGGGCCGAGTGGCGAGTGGCCGCACTCCCATGCCGTACTCACCCCCACTCGTGTGCAGGCCGTGGAGGACGTGAACCGCGGCGTGTGCGCGGCGGGCGCGCGCCTGTACCAGCTGAAGGCGCTGCAGGACGTGAGCAGGGCGGCCGACTACCTCGCGCTCGCTCGCACGCTGCCCGGCTACGCCCACCACGCCTTCCCCCCCGCGCGCACCGACTGCCGCGCCACCCCGCTGCTGCTGCTCACCCTCGGTGCGTGAGTATAGCTAGAGCGGGGCGGCCGATGGCGAGCGAGAGCGGGCGCGCTGTTTTACAATGACGATTCACCTAAAATACATCTTTTAGTAGTGAGCTTTATTTAAATTGTGAAAGTATAATCTATGCAGTTTACCACATTCAAATAAAAACGAGCACGTACACGTCTGACTAAGTTTCCGTGCGTACCAACTGAACAGATGTGACTGTCCTTTAACATAAACATTATTTATTGGAACTGCGTTTAGATTGAATTGAATAGATGAAGATTTATTATTGACAAATTAACTGCATCAGTTAGCAGCTTTGCAAACTGTGACTATTTAGTTTTGTTTGGTAAATTTAATATATACTCAAAAAGATTATATATTTTCTACAGTATAATTCATGTGAGTTTAAATTTAAGATGTCAAAGAACTCTACCTAAGAATTTTACTCAAAGACTTTTAAATATAAGCACATTTGGCAGATATTTATTTGCATGATAAACGATTTGTCTCTACATAACTTCTGTAAAGTGCTAATGCGCTGGAATCTGTGACGGGTTCGATGCTAAGGTCAATTAATAAGGCTGATTAGCTCGAGTGTAGATTTATTAATTGTATAAGGGTAAATAAGAAACTGTAACAAACAAAAATAAAATTTAAAAAAACAGTTCGTGAGTTGCATAACTATAAATTTTAAATTATCAAATAAACGAATACACACCCCTTGTCTCCTATGTAGTTAAACTCTTAGATTGTCCAAAATACAGATTGCAATTTAGTACATATGTTATATAATTTGTATCACAATATCACATTCTTTATCATAATCAATAATTTATTTTAAAATTATATAATAAAATTTATACGATTAATATTATATATTGATTTACATGTTGTGCATAGAAAAATTTCTTATGAACTAACATTCATAAAGAGTATAATTGATTAGTCAAAATTTTAAATTACGAAAGACGAATAATAAAATGAAATGATGTTGAATTTCAAAACAAAAAGTTTACATACTGAAACTTAGGAAAACAAACGGTGGCATGGCACACCGTTACAAATCTTGTTTAAATCACATCCGAGGGACGTCATATCAAAATAAAAAGTACAGATACCAGAAAAGACAAAAGGTAAATTATTTATTTACTATTGAAATATTCACGAAAAGCCCCTAAACTGTCGTTACAATAACATAATAAATTGTAGTTTGTTAATTTATCGTATGAATTAATTTATATGGAAATATTGAGGTACATGAAATTTCATTTCTTATATGATAAAAAACCGTTAGATATATTAGTTTATGTGCCCCGCAGGCTGGTCGGGGCTGACGCTGGCGGCGTGGAGCGGCGAGGGCGCGGAGGCGGGGCCGGCGGGGGCGGGGGCGGGGGCGGGGGCGGCGGCGGTGCCGTGGGAGGCGGTGCGCGAGTGGCGCGCGGACGACGAGGCGGCGGCGGCGCGCCTGCTGCTGGCGCACGCCGCGCAGCCGCGCGCGCTCACGCTCTACACGCCCTACGTACGTGCCGGACGCAGTGCGTCATCGCCCCACCCGCCCCACCCGCTCGCCTCTCGTGTGGCTCACCGTGTGCTTTCTCGTTGCAGTACCAGTTCCTCTGCACCTGCATGGATAGAATAGCGGAGGAGGCCGACTGGGTGGACACCGGCGAGTAGAGCTGCGATGCCCCGATTAGCGAGTGACACCCCGAATGCATTACGTCTCGGAACCTCGTCGTTTTATATATATACTTTTAGGTATGTTCACCTCCCGCTTTTTTATTTTTATTTATCGGTTCATCGATATACAGCAGCCAAAATTACGGCTCCCGAAACTCCCGGCCGTGAAATTGCAGATCAAACGAAAAGTAACACTGTAATAAACAAACGCTCTAATTTTGAATCACAAACTCGCTCAGTTGTCCTAAAATTCAAGAGTCTTAACTTTATTGCCTGTGTATCACGTGACTTGTTCCACGAGCCGCCCTAGTGTGACATCACTCCGACAAAATCTGTCAGATTAGTCTTCTTTATACATACAAAGGATCAATACTTTTATTTGTTAACAAAGCTAATGCTTTGCTAGCACGATTCTCTCCTTCTTTGTATCTTTTTATTACGTACAAAAAGCTATAGTGTCGTCTTTGTTGACTGTCATCTTTAAATCTATTTCCTATGCATCTGTTTTATATACAGTCAATAGGCGGCAATGACGTCATGACATAAGACGGACAGCGTTTTCGCGGATGTAAATTGACATTAAATTTTGATTTCATTTTAAGTATTTAATTTTTAAGTTTTATTCAAATTGAAATAAAACAAGTATGTAGAGTGAAACTAATTTCTAATGTTTTACACATGTTAAAAAAATCATCAATATTTATATAAATGCTACTAATTTGAATAAATCTATTTTTGTTTGACATTCACATAGAAAATAAATAAAACTTATTAAAACTTACTTATACACTGCCAATATCTTTTATAAATGCCGTACATTTTATTTGCCGCCATACATGACAGATCACAGGCGATAAAAGCGATAAACATCTGTATAGCCACAATTTTATATGATTTCTTCTACCCAAATATAGTTTTTTCACCCTGGCAACATCTGTATAAAATGACGACGAGATACTTCACTAATGTTACTTATATTCTATCCGAATGGGTTACACTATTGTCTATGTATATATGTATATTAGTTCTATAACGTGTCACTATATATATATATATTGTTTGTTGTCAATTACGGGCTTCATTCAGTACGGACTTGGTTCTCGGAGGCAACACTCAATACTATCTGTTTCGCCTTTGATTGATATTAGAAACTATGTTTTGTACACACGTAATAAAGTTTGTTTTTATATAACAACTACATTCAGTATAGTTTCAAAGTCGAAGCAGATCCGCCCATTGCTTTTAAGACTCCTTATGAATAGGTTAGTTATTATTATGTACTTACGTAACTATAAGTAAACCTACATATTTACGTTTGTTTTATTCGATTTGTACACACTGTACACTAGATAATGGATCTTATATTATAAGGAACCAGGAACATTTCACTTTAGCTTCAAAGACAATTAGATAATCTGAAATGTTAATTATATTTAACGATAAAATGCATCTCATTATAATGTATATTTAGATTAATAATAATAAAGTGGAAAAATATAATAGAGATAAGTTAATAAAATGTTATACTCAGGTATTCCTTTTCGAATAACCGCCTTCGTAATCTTAAAATAAATACAATGTTATTTTTTGTATACACAAATCTAAATATTACGAGATTGGGTGATGGTAGTTCCTCATCGCTTGTCATTCCTCTAAACAGGAATTTGCCTGTTTTAACCTGATAAAAAAATTATAATTATGACACTTTTATAAATACCGCGCGCGTATAAGTTTCTTTTAATTAAGGGTCGTTACATATGTGACGGTAGATGTATGAGGAACTGACAAATTATATGTTCCCTCGTGTGTCGGTTGCCATATTGGCTATATTCTATTTGCCATATCCAGGGCCGCGTCCATACAGGCAAACTAGGTTTTGCTCTTATTATCTGAACCCATGCAGTACCTTAAAAGTACTTTTATTGTCGCCTTTGCCATCAGTTATGTAATATATAAAACCAATTATTAAATTACTAAGTATTGACATCAATAAGTTTGATTAAAAATACTCATATTCATTCGTCTATGAGGGAAAAGTCGCAGTATTAATTAATGACTGGCCCCGGTCTGTCGGCGACCGCGTGTCTCGCTCGTTAAGGCGTCTTGCACACTCGACGGAAATTCCGTCTTATACTTCCAACACACGATCAAGGGATCTTCATTCAAATTTGCATCAGCCCTAAAAGTTTTGTTATATAAAAATGAATGAGATTGACAATTACAATAGTTATCTTTCCTTTAAAATACGTTGCAAGTTTGTAAACAAAAAATGGCGTTGTATTATATTAGTAATAATGATGGGTCGTGGTAGATTTTTATTTTGTTTGTTGGCAATAATCGCATTTTTCTAATGGCAATATTTATTTCTAGTAATAGAGGTAGGCTACTTGTTTAAGAGATTGGTCTAATTTAACTGGTTCGATATATTCAGATATTGTTAGGTGTCAGTTACACTGAGGATTATCTGTGCTGTGACGTCATAAGAGGTGTAAATAAGCGTTCGACAACAAACATTCGTGTTGTAGCCCCGCGGCAGTGACGTCACACCATGGCAATTGTTAAATTATGAATCTAGCCAGAAATGCACATTTATTTACTGAAATATATTTTGGTCTCATTTATTGCGGTAAATATGACTTCAAGTTCAGTACGCCGGTAGCTTATTGTTTTTTTAAACTTAACTTTATCTCAGACCAATTAAAGAAATATACAAGATTACCTATCTAGTTGTTAAAAAACTATTTGGTATTAAAAAAATATATCTTTAGATAATATATGTGTATGAAATATTGCCGAGCGCGTGATAAGACTTTGTTAAGCATTCGCTTGTTATACTAATTCTATATTGAATTATATCCCTGCGTTGTATGTCTATGTAGCCGTAACATTATATTCTTTACATATCCCAAACGTGCTTGTTTGTGTGTGAAACTTGTTAGGAAATGTTTTAAGTGAATGGCTAGTACAAATATAAAAAATATTAATTTGTGGTTACTTAGGGTAGTATGACTACTGAATTTATTATTTGAATAATGATCTTTAAATGGTGTGTGTTATGGTTTAGTTTTGTTCACGTTTGAGTTGGTAGGTGTAGATATTAGTTTTTGATGATGTACTTTTTGAATGTTCAATTTGGATGTAAAATTAAATGTGCAAGAAGTGCCATTAGAGTATCATGTTCAGTCGTTAGAAAGGATTTCAATACATGTATGATGAACTAAAGATGAGAATAAACGCCGTTTATGTGATAAAGTATTCTAAACTCACTCGTCTGTTACTATTGCAATCAAATATGTATTCTACATATCCAATGTTATACATTTTATTATCTGTTTGATGTTACTGAAGATATAGTGGTATAATTAATTAGAAATATTAAGTAATGTAGTTACAGTAAACGTGAATCTTCGTTAGCCAATTTGGAAGACGACCGAAAGTATGGTTAAAGTGATAATCTATCTATCTATGAAAGAAATGAAAGTGAATGAGGCGAAATATGTAATTAGAACCGTACATTGTGGCGTTCGGTCCTTTGCCCGCCCCGCCAGGGATACGGCCTGAAGATATAGACGGATAACGTTATAATCTTTCTTATTCTAATATCAATAAAGTGTGAAATACAAAAAAAAAAAATGTTCTCCGTCTCACTCGATATCGTGCTCCTTGAATCGTCCGATTGGCCGATACTTATCGCGCTTCGAAATTAGGTACATCGGTACATTATTAAATATTAATGAAGCATTGTCTTTAATCAATGTTTTCAAAATAAATCTACAGTGGGCGACTTTTAATAGATTCATAACGTATGGCGTTCTAATATTAGTTGCCAACATACACGCATTATAAACAAATAAGTCTATCTTACAGTCCATTAAGGTGTCTACACACTCGTGCACGTCTGAACTGGCATATGTGAAATACGTTTGTATTCGAGCATCACTTTCTGATTGAATTGATACAACTATTTGTCAGGAATCAGCATTTTTGACATACACACTATACAACAGTTTATAAATAATTATATGCTTCAGAATCTAGAACAATATATCTATATCTTTCAAGTTGCAGAGAAAACAACTTCGAAACTTATTATGTTTTATATTCCTAAGATTAGGTCAATTAATTTTGCAATATATCATATAATTTGATCACTTTCTAATAAATCCATAATCGCCTGCGGATTATTCGTCACTCAAACAAAAATATTCCTTACTTAAAGAAGACAATTAAGAAAATTATTCAAATAGTTACTGTTCGCTTAGGTTAACAGATTACCCTTAACAGTGTGTAGGCACCTTTGTTCTCGTGTAACTTAGGTAGTTCTTATATAACATCGTCCTTATTTTATATTGTAATATGTATATAATAGTTTATTCAGTATTAAATATAGAACATTATAGGTGCCATAAAGCATCGTACACCGTTTCTACGTAGGTTAACTTATGCCATTTAATAGAAAAACGTTTACAAATTACTAATTTATTTTTTTAATGAATTCGTAAAATTAAAATTTCATTGGAAAATAAAAACTTTCGACTGATTTGTGTATAGGAACGACATCTGTTGTGCGCTTTATTTGGGAGAGTAATTAATGATTTTAGTCACAAAATTTATTAATGAAGCTGCAAATTATTTTTAAATTTAACTTTTCATTAGGTATCTTCGATATAAATTATAATGTAGATATTGTATGTTAATGTAACAATTTTATTGGCGAATTTTATAGTAATGTTTGCTTGAAAAAATATATTTTATATGTTGTCATTGTTTTAAGGCAAATAATATTTGTGTGTAGATTTATATTTAAGCTTCTATCGCGAAAGTGTTGAACTGTTGGAATCTTATTTATCATACATTTAAGTGTGACAATCGATTGTAAATATCTGGTTGGTTCTTGCCAATGCCTTATTTCTTCAAGAGTTTTTCGTCGGTTATATAATGGTTTAGTCGGGATTGTGATGC